TGACTAACAAAGGTTGGTCCTAATAATGCTCCCACATATTGAACTGAGTTGTGCCTTCCCCATAGTATCCTCCAGTTGACGGAGGCGGTGGCGGTGGCGGTGGCGGTGGAGAAGGAGGCCCGTCCTTCTTATGGTACGGGCACTCGCAGTACGGATTATTGCATAGTGCCTCCTCTGCATCATTGCTATTGTCGTCGTCCGACTTGTCCCTGTTACCACTTCCAGGGCCATACTCTAGGTCAAAGATGCGTCCCTGTAGATATGTGATGTACTGTTGATGGGGATAGATAGGAGGAGGGTCGACCCATCTAGTGAAGCCACAGTTATCTGGACAGCTTGAATCCTGAAAACCCATCTACCAATAAGTACTATTAGAAACTAAATGCAAATCTAAAAAAGGAGAGAGTTCAAAGGAAATACAAATCCTTGCGGGCATCTGAAGAAACGACGGCCTCCACCGTCACAGTCGTTGTACATCTGCACAACGCAATCCAAACCGTGGCGGCATTTTGGCCAATCTTCAATGTGCTTGTCGTATGATCTAAGAGGTCTCTCACGGGTGAAGTCACTCTTCCTCTCCAAAGGAAATTCCTCTATTGGTTCTTCAAAAGAATCAGGACCCAGAGAACCCTCCGACACAATCGGAGGTCCCTTCCTCTCCCTCCGCCGAAACCCTTTCCACTCGAGGAACCTCCGCTCGACATTTCCTAAAACTAAACCAGAAAACAAGTTGTGTGGATGTGGAGCAAGACATGGACCACTATATATAGAGATGAAGGCAGGTTCACCATGAATGCTACTTGACAAAAAACTTGTGTGCGTACTCATTTATTGAATCTGCAAAGGCTAGATGCTTCATCTGAAAAGCCTACAACCATGACCGGTCATTTCATCTGAAAAGGCTACACATGTGTTTTGTCACTTCATCTAAATATAGTACATCACTCTGATATTAATTCACTGCGTATACGGATACAACAGTAAACGAATCTAGGCTTTTCAGTGAGTTTTCAAATAGACTTTCCATTGACTGCAACAGTACTTGTAGCCCTTTCAGTGACTGCAACAGCACAAGTAGCCTTTTCAGTGATACAAACAGTAGCACTACAGTCTTATGATAGTTAACGAAGTACAGGGCATAAGACCATCTGAAATAAAAGCATAGTGCATTACAACATAGTAAAAAAAGTCTAGGGCTTCACGACATCGCTCGTGAATAAACCAAATACCTACTGAGTGTAACGAGGCCACTTTCCCTTCCTCTAGGCATCGGGATTCTCCTCCATCGCTGCCTTCGCTCGGCGCACACGCTCAAGCTTCTTCTCCCTCTCCGCCCTGTATGCAGCAACACGTCTCCTTTCCTCCTCTTCCTTATGCTCCTTTTCTATAGCCTCATGTCTGCGTCTCTGCTCAAACCTCTCCTTAACCTCGGCATCCCACTCCTTCAGGCCTTCTAGATGCTGCTTGTCTGACTCCTTGATCTCAGTGTCAATCCACTGCTCAAAGTCACACAGTCGTGGAACGGTCTGCAAGAAAAACAAATTGTTACAAAACAAATAAATAAGCAATACTTAATATCACAAGAAAATTAATTAACACACAATAAAAATTCCTCACAAACAATGCACGGCGTTGTTGCTTTGTAGGTTCCCATGCATAATTGGGACACATCCAGTACCTCTGTCTATATGTTTCCTCATCTTCAGAGATATCTACCTTGCAAGGATCACCACAAAAGCACATTGGTCGAGGAACACCTTCAGGGACAGGCTTTAGGTCGTAGGGATTTGCCCTCTGACGACCATAGCTACAATTAAAAGAATTTAGTCATATTAACGGAGAACCAAACCTAAATCTAGGGTTTTCTATTTGTTGCACAAATAATGAATAAACATTGGGATTACCTTGGAATACGAGCTTTACCACGCCTTGGCATCCTAACATTACGTAGAAAAAAAATCAATCCAAAGTACCTTGCAACGAATGTAAAGCTACTAACACTAAATCACCATACCTCCCAAATAAGCTTTTCATTACAAACACTAAGCAAATTTGAATCCCAACAAACACAAAATTTAACTCAATGATTATAAACCAGAACATATACAACAACAACAACCATACATTTAGGTCATTCAATCATTTGAACCACCATACATTGCACGAATGACATGAACATGAACCAAACCTATAATGCCAAGTTCAAAAACAACCGAATCTAAATGGATGAAATGAAAGAGGGAAAAGAGGAGTACCTTGGCAAAACGCCTTGGTCATAAAAAATTGAAATGTAATGACCAACAAATAAATAAAATACATACTAACCCTAATGACCAACAAATAACTAACTCTAATGACATCTACAATAAACAAAGAACACTAATGACCAAAATAACTAGAAACCAAACTAACCTAATATGTTCAGCACATAAAACAGTTAAACAACAATGCACTCAATCATCCTAAGCCATACATTTTGCAAATGCAAACACAAATATACCAAAACACTATACACTCATAATTCCACATGATTAGGGACAATGCAAGCACATCTACGCGGATAGATTGGAGGAGGGGAGGGACCATTACCACGAGAAAGCTTCGGGAAACAAGATCCGGGCACCTAGAGTCGCATTTGGGGGTTAGAGTTTCGTGGGGGCCGTGGGAGATTTGGGGGCCGGCGGTTTCAGAATGGAGGGAGGAAGAAGATGGGGGCCTCGGCGTGGCCTCAAGGGACCGGACTTCGGCGTTGAGTCGGGCCGCGCCGAGGTCTGGAGGCTCGGCGTTAAGTGACCCAACGCCGAGCTACTGGGCCACCGTGCGTTGTTGGGCCACCTGGGCCGCGCGCCGGATGGTGCCAATAGCTCGGTGCGCCGTCCAGCCGCGCCGAGGTTAGGCCCTTGGCGTTGGATGACACGACGCCGAAGTCTCGGACCCACGCGCCACCGTGTCGCGCCGACGACCCCGGTCGTCCGTGACGTGGCAATACCTCGGCGTCGTGTCACTCGACGCCGACCCCCATACCTCGACGTCATGTTCTAAGACGCCTAAAAATGATCTATTTTCAGAAAATATTTTGACGTGGGTATTTTTCTAAAAATTATTTTCAAAATAGACCAAAATACAAAAATTTCACGCAAACGAGCACCACGGCGGCGGGCACCACGTGGTGGTGGTGACCGCCAGCTCGGCGCGTGGCATCTTCGGACCCGGTCAGACCCGTCGGCGCTGCCGAACATGAGGAAGAAGTGAGCATTGTGGATGGCAACGACGAAGTGCTGGACAAGTCCGAGCAGAGGAAGGAGAGCACGAAGGACTGGTAGAGGGGAACGCGACTCTGATACGCTCGTGCGCGTGCCTCGTCAAAAAATCCGAGTCGACTCTGATACAATACGAGTACCAATCTCCAGGCTCCCTATCTATATCTGTTACTACAACTTAAAAATATATTTAAAACAGACCTAGGAAAAAAACAACAAAGCAGAAGACGTGAAAACACAATACAGGACGTGCTGATTGTGAACGTCTGGCGGTGCAGCCGAGTTCAAGCCAGCACCAGGCTAGGCTCGTCCATGCCAGCTCCATCGTGGCTCATTGCTAAAAAAAATACAGTAGTTTCATTGCTGAGAACACCACCACACGAGGCCCCTCATCCATCGGTGCTCCAGTCCGTCGACAAGTGCGTTTACAGGATATATTCAGGGTACAATATTCCTCTAATTTGTTTGCAACACTTCAATTAAAGTAGGCCTTCAGCGTTATGCACTTTTGATTCTAATTTGATCAATTTCGTCCAATTGGTTCATGAATGGTGTTCTTCCTTTTACTTAAATTCGAATGACTCTTTTCATGCATTTTTAGATATTCTCTCCTACATGGAACCTATTGAAAATCAAGAGCAGGATTGTTCAAAACCATTCAGAGACTTAACAAACCCGATCAATGAAGGTAAATAATAACGATCTTATGTATATGAATGATTTGGAATATAATGGAAATGGTGCTAATTAGTTGTCTTCCTGTCCATTTACAAATTAGGTGGCCAAAGTGAATCTATTTTACTTACACAAGTCACTGATCCTAAAGAACGTAACAGGCAGGCAAAGAGACAGAGCACGATGTTGAGCTATGACTGAAGAACAAACGAATGAAATTAATATAAATAGGAAGAAGTGACATGCAATAATGACCGAAGACCACCAGAATGAAGTTAATAGGAAGCGTCGTGAAGCGTATCATCGAAGAAAGATTGATTTTATGCTCCCTGAAATATCCAAGGTAACATTACGTAGACTACTAAATTGTGATACCTGCAATGCCCTTTCTTATAATAATATTAAATAATTAGTCTATACAACTACATATTTTTAATAATTAGATGATATTATTTTTTCCGTGCAACGCACAGGTATTTATCTATTAACTGAAAAAATAATCAAACTAAATCAAGTAATCAGCTCCAACTCTTTGTGCTGGCAAAATTTATATTTTATAGTACTGATGAACCATATGGTGCCACCAACAGGGCCCAGATTACTTGTTGGCCCGACGGCCCGGTCCAGGATTGCAATAAGTTCTGTTCGGGTCCCCAGTGGGCTCACTTTAGCAGCCCCACACGTCAGTTTCGTCACCCTCGACGGACGGGCGGGCACCCACACCGCTGCTCCCGGTGGCGGCACCGCACCACCACCACACCACGGCACTTCGCCACTACTCCCCATAAAGAAGACGAGAAAAGCGGTTGAAAAAATTATTAACCGAAAAGGGAATGCCCTTCTAGAAACAAAGGCGCTTTTCACCCGCTTCCCGGACCCGGCTCTCTCCACCGTAATCATCGCTTCAAAGCCAAGCGAAAGCCGAGAGCCCAACCGAAACGATGACCCGCACCCGCGCGCCTCGCCTCGCCTCGCCTGCGGTTTACAACCACCCATCGCGGCCCGCGCCCGCGCCAATGGCGAGCTCCACCACGCTCCGCTAGGTCTCCGCCCGCGGCGGTCGCCATGGCGTCGCGGCACCGGAATGCTTCTCCGGCGCCGGCGGGGAACGACTCGCCGCAGCCTGCCTCGCCGGCAACCTCGCCGCGGCTTGCGGCGGAGTTCCCTCTCGACGCGCCCGAGGCCAAGGAGAGCGTGACCGTTACCGTCCGCTTCCGGCCGCTCAGGTTGGGTTGGGTCCCCTGCTTCGCCGCACGTGGCTGCAGTTTGTTCGTGTTATTATAATCGACCGGGTTCGGCTTTGGGCAATGCGGATTGATTTCGTTGGTGTGTTTTCTCTCTTTCTGCGTGTGTTAAGCTCGCGGGAGGTTCGGCTGGGGGAAGAGATCGCTTGGTACGCGGATGGGGACACCATTGTGCGGAGCGAGCAGAATCACAGCATCGCTTACGCGTACGGTATGTGCCCGATACCTGTTCCGGGTTTTCCGGGAATGGATGGATCACACTTCTGTTTATCGAAGAATTATAGTTACTCGTATGAATGCTTGGTTTGCGATTTGATGGGTTCCATCAACTTTGAAGTGGAAATGCGAGTTTGTAGCATCACAAGATACTACACTGCCAGTAGAATGAGTAATTTGTGACATTTTCTTTTCTTCTTTCTTTCTTTCTTTCTTTCTTTTTGGTTGAGAAGAGTGATTTATGAGTCTGACTAGTGGAGATGTGGCACGTGAATGCATTTCTTGAGGCCGAGAATTAACATCTACTAGTCAACGGTTCACCTAGCTGTAGTTTTCAGCATAAATGGTTCAGGAATGTATTCAGGTGGATCACAATATTACTGGACTTTATAATTTTAGTATGGAAGACAGTACTTAAATATCACAAACGGATGGAAGAAATATCATTTTTTTTGGAAATGGGAAGCTTTATTAATTTCAAGAAAAATCACGTTGCTTCTTTTTTTCACTTAATTTTTCTTCGCCTGAGGCTAATACGAAATTCATATGAAGATCGAGTCTTCGGACCGACTACAACAACTCGACACGTACATGATGCTGCAGCTCTGCATGTTATCAGTGGTGCCATGGAGGGAATAAATGGTAATTGAAGTTCTGTTCTCTTGTCCATGTAGTATTTTTTCCTTTGAATAACAGTCTAATATGCTTACAAGAATCAATGTTATTTTCTGGGCTTTTTTAGTAAACTACAGCTTTTGAATTGTTTGATTGCTTTTTACTAAATGTTTGGGGTAGGTTGTGGAATCTGTGCACAATGTCAATCCATGTGAAAGTTCATTGATTGAAAATGTTTTTAGTACAGAGTTTATGAGATCATGGCACACTTGTTTTGTTATTGTTCATGAATAGTTTCCTTTTTTTTTTGGTTGATAATTTTCACTTCACTGTCACAGGTACAATATTCGCATATGGAGTTACAAGCAGTGGGAAGACGCATACAATGCATGTGGGAAAACTTATTGCAATATTTTTTGTTTACTTAGTTTTACTTCTGTAGAGTGTATGTTTCTAGTCCTGTGCTTTGAAGTATGCTTCATGCTAACAACTAACATGCAAAAACCTGGAGTAAAATAGGTACAATTTAAACCTTTTGTTAAGTCACTTTCTTGTAGACTTCCCATGGGTGCAATCTAACGTTTTGCCTCCATTTCACATATAGATCTGGTGACGTTTTCAGCCTTTTGTTAACATCATGTGTTCTCACTGCTCATGTATAGTTTTTGGCTTGATGATCTGTGATATGTCCCTTTCCTAAAACAAGATAGCTGCTGTCTTTGCCTTGAGCATATCATTTGTTGACAGCATTTCTCTTTCCCAACTTTGAATTAACTGTAGTGTGTACATGGTTGAAAACATTTCCTACGGTGCCGTTCGATGGCTTGTATTTGGACCGATTTTCTTCTTAATACAATGACACACAGCTCTGTTGTGTGTTCGAGAAAAAAAGAAAACATTTCTTACTTTCTCAGTATACACTATTTTTATGAGCAGGGAGATCAAAGATCCCCGGGGATCATACCTTTGGCTGTGAAAGATGCATTTAGTATAATACAAGAGGTATTGTTTGACATCAACATCTTCATTCAAGTCTTTGGTTTTACATGATTGATGGCCTATTCGCTTGCATCTGTACCCAATTTATTTTTCTTCACAGACTCCAAATCGAGAGTTTCTTCTCCGTGTATCATATTTGGAAATCTATAATGAGGTCAGTCATCCCTAATTATGCTTACTCCACTGGTCATACTAGTAAACTGAGGGCAAAGGAGGAGGTGGGAAGGGGCTTTCACGTTTGTGCCCTTTGATTGTTTTAATGGTGCCAAGCCCAACTAAGGTTTACTTTCCAAAATAAATAGCAGAACAACATTAGGTTAATGCAGTTTTTGTTTTTTCTTCTGCTCATAGCTTCAGAACCTTGGGAAAAGAAACTACTACCAAGTTGGTGAAAAGGGGTTTGTAGAAATACTTTTTTATTCATCAACATGACTTATGACTTATATGGTGTCTCATTGGTACTAGTATGGAATAGAAGCATAGCGTTAGGAGGTCACTGATCCATATTGCTAATTTGCTAGTAAGTTTGCAATAACATTTTGATACTAACAAAATGCCTGCCTTGTTTACTGATGTTTTGCTCAGAGTTAGGAGTTGCATATTATGACCTACGTACCTGAAATTCATCTCTGAATGTCGTTATGTTGTTTGAACTCACTGACTGCTATAACTACCGTTCATCAACTTATCAACTAAATTGCATATGATTCTTCTGCTTTTATTTATATTGTATTGATTGAGAGGGTCATGTTTTATAGGTTGTCAACGATCTTCTTAATCCTTCAGGTCAGAACTTACGGATTAGGGAGGATCTTCAGGTTTGACATATTTTTATTAGTATCTGAAGTCTATACATGCAACAGTCTTAACTAGTGAGAGTCAAATCTGAATTTGAATAGAATCTCATTGATTTCATGGCAACTAGCACATAGGCTGCAAATTGCTGAATATAACTATGGCATATGATGGTTTTGACTTTTGACAGTACAATGGATTGTTTATTACCAGGGAACATTTGTTGAGGGCATACAAGAAGAAGTGGTGTTGTCTCCTGCACATGCTTTGTCCCTTATTACAGCCGGAGAAGGTTATTTTTTTCATTATGGTTTAATTCTTTGTTTATTTCAGTATCCTGACTATCAGAGTATAAGCCTTAATAAGGCTTCATTTGTGGGGTTTCCACCATTTGAATTCCATGGCCTCTTGGTCGCTGAGCCATAAGGATGACTATTGTAACTAACAGCACCCTTCACCAGGGAAAAAGAATGTGAGAATGATTAATTATTTTATTGGATAATCCTTATATAGCAAACTCTTACCCACTCCTGTATCCCTTTATGAATTAGTTATATAACAAGCTACTGCAGTCATACTTCATAGCTGATGGTACAAAATGCAGTGAGAATCAATAATGGAAAACAAAATTCCACCTAACAAATGATTTGCTGTAGCATATGCTTTGTTTCTTATTCTTGTGAATCAATATGATTGTAAACAATGCCGCTCCCCTGAATTGGTCGGAAAAAAAAAATGATTGTAAACAATTATAGATACAGCAGGTTTATACCTTTTATTTATGAATTCAAAACTCTCCCTGTGGTCAAGTTTTTTAATGAATTATGAAAGTTCCTTTTTCCTTTTTAATCTTGAGTGAAGATTTGTGTCTTGTCTTGGCATTCTTCAATAGGAGTAAGATCTTGTGGTGCTCAAAGTTCATTGTGAACCAAAACTGCATCTAAGTTAAGCGATTACCTGTACTTTTATTGGTGTGCCAGCTATTTATTGAAGAGATATGCGACATTGGTTTACATTTCTCAGAATGCAATTTGATTTATATCTAATTACCCTTTTTTAGTAAGTGGTACTTTGGAATTTATTGATCACTAGGTTTTTTACGTTATTTCAAGAACACTTGACATATTTACTTAGAGTTTATTGTGTTTGTTCCACTTCCAGAACATAGACACGTTGGATCCACAAATTTCAATCTGCTAAGCAGCAGAAGCCATACAATTTTCACACTGGTAATAATGAAGCCTTTCATGTTACGTTGAGATTCATGCACAGAGTTCAGCATCTTATTGAATATATGGGACTAAAGTTCTTGCATGGCTGCATTTCACATTGTAAAATCTCTAACACTGCTTAGTTTACTGTTTCATGTGTAGACAATAGAGAGCAGCCCCTGCGGTGTATCTAGTGAAGAGGAAGCAGTTACCTTCTCACAGCTGGTGGGATCATCTTCGTATTTCCTTTGTGTTTGTTTCTTCTGAAGTTCTGATCCATTCCTCTGCCTTGCCACTATAAATGATTCGAGATATATTACACATGCATTTCATTTACCAGTATAGTTGACTCTAGTCTCTAGATATATGACACATCTACATTTCATTTACACTTGGCATCATATATTGTTTCATGTGCACTTCTAGTGTGTTCCGGCGGACTACAGATTGGTTTCTTAGTTTTCTTGCTCATTTGCAGAACCTCATCGATCTGGCAGGTTCAGAGAGCTCAAGGGCCGAAACTACGGGAGCACGCCGGAAGGAAGGATCTTATATCAATAAAAGCTTGCTAACTCTTGGAACGGTAGGCCTCATTCTCTAATCACTCTCAGATTATATGTCCCTGTAATATCACCTTTAATGCAGTATGGTAGATGCTGTGTTCATGCAATCATGCTTTTGAGATTATGCATTGCTGCCTATGTATTATTTGTGCATATTGTGCATAGGTTAATTGTTTTCATTTTTATATTTCATATTTCAAACAAAAATGAGTTCATTAAAAGTCTGGAATTGGATGGATATATGTAACTATCCAAAGTCCCGAAACACAGGTTGCATCAATATATGCAGCATTTCGTTTTCCACTGACCAGAGACATTTATAAGCATGGAGACAACAATTGAGACTTGTGAGAAAAGATTTCCATAAGTATTTCTGCTTCATGTGATTTGTTAATGCTTCTCCACCCAATGGTTTATGGCCAATCTATTAAGCTGAGTCTATCTTTTTGTGTTCTTCTATTTGCAAGATGTTAGCTAACCATGTTGATAAAAGAAATTAGTTTGCATATTGCAGGTGATATCAAAACTGACTGATGGAAAAGCTACACATGTTCCATTTCGAGATTCCAAATTGACACGGTTACTACAGTCATCCTTAAGTGGACAGGGACGTGTTTCTGTAAGTTGCTTCTCAGGTTATTACTTAGATTAAGTTGTTATTATCTCAATCTTTTACATTTTGACTTCCTTTTTTGCAGCTAATATGCACTGTTACTCCAGCATCAAGCAATTCAGAAGAGACTCATAACACGTTAAAATTTGCCCACCGTGCAAAGCACATTGAGATTCAAGTATCACAAAACAAGGTGATTCTGCATATTTGTTTATCATAATTTTTTGCGAAAGAAGCTGAGCTAGCTCAGTGGTCGAGCGTGTGGATGTATACCCAGACCACCCAAGTTCAAGTCCTCAGCTGAGGCAAATTTGGGTGCCTATTTTCTTCTTGATAAAATGCCACCTAGTTCCTCCTCGGTTGGCTTTTTTATATATATATATTTTTCCGCAACTTATTACCTTGCAATATAAATATTAGTACATTTGACTAATTATTTGTACTTGCAAAATGCAATTGTGGTTTGCAGATTATGGATGAGAAGTCTTTGATAAAGAAGTACCAGAATGAAATTTGCCAATTGAAGGAAGAGCTAGACCAACTGAAAAGGAGTATACTTTCTGGCACTCCTTCAAAAGATGCCACAGAAGACAATGTCATTCTTTGGAAACAGAAGGTGATTGGTTTGTAATGCATTGTATTTTTGCATTCTTTTGGCTTTCACTTTATTTGTAGTTTCTGAAGGAAGTACTACCTTATCTGTTAACAAAATCTGGGTGAATTTTTCCTTTAGAATTAGTTAGCACTATTACCTAATACCTTATCTTCACTTCGTTGCCTCATTGGTGGATCCTAAGATTCTAACGAGAATTCCTCATCACTTGAAAAGCTAGAAGATGGTAATGTCAAACTCCAGTCTAGACTGGAACAAGAAGAGGCGGCTAAAGCTGCTTTGCTTATGAGGATACAATGTCTAACAAAGCTAATCCTGGTTTCCACAAAAGCAACTCAGACTCCTAGATTGTCTCAACGTCCTGGGCCAAGGAGAAGACATTCTTTTGGTGAAGAGGAGGTCTGACTGTTAAGATAACACTACCAAACTTTTCAGCTACTGTCAAATTGTATGTATATTAATATATATTGTTTTTTCATTAGTTTTAGTGCATTAATTTCCCAGTTTTATCTGCTAAAACTGCAGTTGGCATGTCTCCGCACAGAAGGCGAGATATCGTATTGGATGGTGAAAGCAATGATTTATTTGTTCCTATGGAAGGATTTGATGAAACAGTTGAAGCTTCTTCCAAAGGGGAGAATAAGAATCGCAAAGGGCTTCTTAACTGGTTCAAACTTCGGGTATACAAATCAGACACTATATAATCCACTGCATTGGCTATTCTCAGTATGGTGACAGTTAAGTACGACATGTAGCATTTCATCTAGTAACTGATGCCCAATACTCCTATGGCTGTATATGTGACACCATGAAGATTTAATTTTAAGGAATGTAAATTTTTGAAGCGTGTTAGATATATACAAGAACAGAAAAAGTAAGCAGATTGCATTCTTTTGTTGTGTATAGAACCTTGCTTACTAACATTTACATGCTGAACTGTAACCAGAAACATGACGGTGGTTCTAATGCTCCAAGCTTAGGTGGTGACCAATCTAGCCTGAGGAAAGCATCGACTGCCCCTTCAACACCCTTGGCGAATGGACTTAATTCTCAAACAGAGCAAGGGATGTCTAACTCTTTGCTTCCTGAGAATGTATCAGCTAACCTGCTGAGCGTTGACCATGAAGAATTTCATTCTGATGAACTTCATGGAGAAGAAGCTCCTTTGGTACACGATATGAGCACATCATTCTTTGTTTATTCTAATACACATCTAATCAGAACCAATGCAGGATACATAAATATTCTGGAAAGTTAACAATGTGATAAGTCTCTGTGCTAAAAAGTTCACTGCATTAAATGTATTGAATTCACCTAAGGTATTTCTTTTTCAGAAGCTACCAGCAGTGGTACCTGTAATGCCTTAAATAACCCAAATCAAAATTATTGAATCCACCTAAGGTATTTATTTTTTCAGAAGCTACCAGCAGTGGTACATGTAATGCCTTGATAACCCAAATCAAAATTTGAGTTGTTTTGTAGGATAAATTTTCAGTAGATGGCTGTCAATATGAAAGTAAACACACAAGTAGATAAAGGTGCAATTTCCTTGTGCAATCAGCATTTGTTCATAATAAAAATAATACCATGTGCCAACAACTAAAAAGTTCTTGAAGTCTATAAACTATTCTATCACTTGATCGACTCAAATGTCTCAGTATCTTGTTTGTTTTGAGTAATAGACAAATTGTGATGTTACCATCTGATACATGTCATTGTGACAGGTCACCAGAAAAACATCAGATCATGTTGATCTATTGAGAGAGCAACTGAAGATCCTGTCAGGGGAGGTTGCATTACATAAAAGTGTTCTAAAGCGCCTCATGGAAGAAGCTGGAAGAAGCACAACGAATGGTCATATCGAGGTAATTTCCCTTTCTGCACATTCAGTATGTTATTGTAGGTTTTCTTGTTGAAAACCATAAACTGTATACATTTGAAGATGGAAATGAAAAAGGTCAGTGACGAGATTAAGGGCAAGCAGCAGCAGATAGCACATTTAGAAAGGCAGATTAAGGGGAAGCTTGACCAGTTAGAACATACACCGGTATATTATCTGCAGTCAATTAGTTTTCAATTACTTTGTCTCTGAATTGATACATATTAAACTGTTGCAATGATTTTCCAGTCTCACACTAAGCTACTGGAGCAGGTCAATGAGAAAGCATTTGAACTTGAGGTACCGAAACTCTTCTCAGAGCGTGCATTTTCTTATGTATTTTTACATTGGTTTATTAGGAAAATGGATCCAGAACGAAATAATGTATTTTTCATGAATATAAACATTTGCATTTTGCATATATTGGGGACCAGTATTTTCCCTTAAAAAGATGGATAGCAGGTTACCCTTGTTCATGGTGAACCTGGAGTTGGAGACAAAGGAATCAGAGTACCTAGAGTAGAGAACTAAAGCCCCCAAATGCTTCATGTTTAATTTTCTCATACTTGCCTGTCCACCACACAACTAATTAGGAGTATTTAAGGTAACTTAATTTTCCCTTAAGTGCATCATGGTTAATAAGCTCCCCTAGGATCCTTGACCCTCAAGAGGTGGCGAAGTGTTGAGAGAGACTTTTTTCAGTGCTCGTGTGCCATTCTTGTTTTGCCTGTATTTACAAAGGCTCCTTTTTTTGTTTATTGCAGGTGAAGACAGCAGATAACAGAGTATTGCAAGACCAGCTACAGCAAAAGGTAATAGTTTGATTGTAAGTTAAGTTAACCAAAGAGCCCACAATCTTATGCCGTTCCACATTATCTTGTTATCAGACAACAGAGTGTCAGGCATTACAAGAAGCAGTTGCCCACTTACACGAACAGCTTTCCCAAGCTCTCGAAGCTAATGATTTATTGTCAGAAAGCATCATATTTCAGCAGTACACAGACATCAGCCTTCAAAATGGATCGCAAGTTCACAAAGAAAATCCAGCATCTATAGATGTCTCTGATGAACTGCATCAAAAAGCAGAGCAGGTTTGCCTTTTCTCTGCACTATGGTTCAAAATCATTTTGGTCAACTGTGGTTTTTTGTTGTAGTAGCTATTGTGCTAGACTTGAGGAATTTGAATTGGTCCAACATGACTATGTGAGACAGTGAGAGTATTAGTATTATAAGTTTTTACATGTAACTAGCCTAATTTCTATGTGTTGCTAATGGGAAGCTGTAGCCACTAGGCAGGTATTTGGCACATAATTGGATTTGTACTGTATCTTATGATAAGAATTATCTGAGATGTTGATCATAAAATTCTACTCTGCTATATTATTCAGAGCTACTAAAGTGCATAGAGCAGTGTTTTTTTCGACGAATTAGTGCAAAGAGCAGTGTAATCAATAATATTTCTCTTGGTTAATAGTGATAAATGGTGCTTCGAGTAGGGGCATAAGAAGTGGCATTCTGCATTCACAGATGCTCTAACATTTAATGGTAATGCAGTGTCGTGAGCCTTTAATTGTGATAGGCTTTATTCAAGTCTGTACCTTTGTATCTGCTGAAAAAAATAAATGGTACCTTTGTTCATTTTTATGAAACATAACTACTAGTTACTAGTTGTCGCATCGTCTTTGCTTATCACATGTTTGGAGTCAGTGGCAATGGCCTTCTTCACCTCCATGGGTGGCCTTATGTCTTTAGGATTACAAACTAATTTTATTTGGCTTATGAGTGTTATTGTTTTAAGCATTTGTGTCCTGTAATAATTTTGGTCTGATTTCTCGCTTGTGAGGATAAAGCTGGTCTTCCATTATCTAAAAAAGGTTGTCTTGCCAATTGAAAAATTTGCTAAGCACGTTTTTTCATGGTCCATTTATCTAATACCATCACCCCAGTTGACTGATTTGTTCAATTATATCACTTATTTTGGTATTTTAACTGATTAGATTAACATTATCCATTCTCTCGTCAGTCAGATATTGATGAACTGAAGCAAAGATTGTGTGAGCTCACTGAGGCCAAAGCTCAACTAGAGGCCCACAATCAGAAGCTGCAAGAGGAAAGCATGTACGCAAAAGGCCTGGCCTCGGCTGCAGGCGTGGAACTGAAAGCACTGTCTGGGGAGGTCACCAAACTCATGGACCACAACGAGAAGCTCGCGAACGAGTTGGCTTTAGCAAGAAATTCAACACAACGACGAGTGAGCAATGGTCAAAGGGTTGGTAGAAGGGATAGCTATAATAAACGGCTTGACCCAGCTAGTAGAAGAGATGTTCGTGCTAGCTATGAGAGGGAACAAGCTCTGGAGGTCATGCTTATGGGGAAGGACCAAAGAGAGTTGGAGCTCCAGAAGAAAATCGAGGAGTCGAAGCAGAAGGAAGCCTTCCTGGAAGGAGAGCTTGCGAACATGTGGGTTCTTGTGGCGAAACTGAAGAAGGGTCAGGTAAACCAAGATGATGTCGATGCCAAACCCTAGAGAAGATCATGACAGAAATAATCATCGAATCAGCTGAGCCCTTCAGCATTGCAGTTTCCTTGTCTGTGGTGGTTTGCACCAGTGTGAATCCATGTATCTATATTGGTTGTAAATAGCTGGATTGGAATAATTGTGTGCTGTATATAACACTCAGAATTGTCATGCCTGGCTGGTTTGTTGAGGACTTTCAACAATTATACGGTAGATAGATTGTCGTGTGGATACAAATGAAAGCCTGATAATGCATCTGCCTCCAAAGCAAGTGTCGAACTTATGAAACCACAGTTTGCATTTTGAAGACTAAGCCATTTGAACATATCGGTACAGTGATGAAACGGTTAGTTGCCTGATCTGATCACCTCTCATTTTGGATCATCCTTTCCTCTTGGCTTGTTCATTCATCATTTATTTATTTTTATTTATTTTTAACCTCTACAAACCGGCTAAGGTGGCCTCCCAGGCTATCCACGGTAGCAAAATTAGCGTCCGATTCTGTTCTAACAACGCTGGTTTACCCCCACGGTGATATACTGTATAGGCCCACGCATCAATCTCCACTAATAATTCACCGGTTCAAAACTTATCTACAACTACCCCGTGGAGTGTCTCCCGCAGTCATGACCCAGGAAATAACTCATTAGAAAAGAACGGACGATATCCTCTAAGCTCTCCTTTCTCTTGCTCACTCAAATCCAACGGTCCAGGTTCTTTGATCACGTCATGTCTATGATTGTCAGCAATAGTGTTCCTATATAACACTATGTATGCTTCAACACTTCTATAACTAATCTCTTATATTGTATATATTCTTCCAATGCTCTTAATTGCCGTAATAAAACTCCACATATTTTTCTGAATTTTAACTGTCAATAGACCGCGCGCAAGGGCGCGCACACCATACTAGTCATCTTTAAAGTAGTGGTCCCTACTCAATTCAATGCAATAATAACAACAATTTTATTTACGGTAATACTCTCGTCGGAACGTCCGATTGTCTAGACGTTGCGTTCGCGGGCTGCGGCACCAGCCTAATAGCTCAACTGGTGTATCCCTTTGTACACTCGCCTCTAACCTTATCCAGCTGCTCCATTCTCCAGAAGGCTCTCCAGCGCCGCAAAATCGTGCTCCACCGCGACCGCGCTTCGCGCCGCCACACCCGTGGGGTTCCTCCGTTGTCCGCTGGCATCTCCAACGCCCCCCCCCCTCGGAGTCCGTAATCCACAGTGCCCCGTGGCTAGCTGTCGCCCCATCGCGCTCCCCTGGCTGGCCCGCAGCTGCCCCCTACTCGGCCCGTGCCAAGGCTGCGGTGTCCCCTAGGCGGTTCGCCGACGATGTGAAGCTCCATCGCCAAGCTCGAAGAAACGGAGGGCAGCTCCGCTCCGTCCGCCGCCCCATCGCGCCGCTTGGTCGGTTAGCAACTACCCCTTGCTCGGTCTGCTCCAAGGCTGCAGTGTCCCTTGGCCGGTCCGCTGACAACGCAAAGCTCCATCGCCAGGCTCGAAGAAACGGAGGGCTGCTCCGCTTTGGCCGCCGCGCTCGACGGCTATCGCGCCCCCTAGCCAGTCGCTCCACGCCACCGGTGAGCTCTAGGCCGATGAACTTCACACGCCGATGAACCTCAATTTCTCCCAAGCAACAAAGAGATGTTGCGCTGATAGCGCATGTTGCAAGCGTACATTTTAAATGTTTCAGATGCTTCAGAGGTATGTTGCAAGTGTTTTATATGGATATTGCAAAAGTAGATCAGGATGTTGCATTTGTTGCAATGGTTTGTACACGTATGTTGCAAAGCGTATGTTCCCAATGTTTCATCTGTTTTTCAGGCGTATGTTGCAAGTGTGTTTATCTGGATTTTGCATATGTTTCACACATATGTTGCAAGTGTTTTATTTGGATGTTGCTTATGTTTTGCTATGGTTTCAAGTGTTCTTCATGTGTTTTTTGCAAGTGTTTCATTTATCTTCTTTTATATATGTTGCAAGTGTTGCATCTGAATGTTTCAAAAGTAGATCCGATGTTGCACATGTTGCTATGGCAATACACGCATGTTTTAAGGGCATATTTCAAGTGTTTCGTCTGTTTCAGACGTACATTGCAAGCATTTCATTTGGATGTTTCAAATGTAGATCTCGGTGAAGTACATGTTGCTGCCAGTGCGCCGCCGTAGGTCACCATGCCGCCATGGGTCACCGCATCACGCGCCTGCTGGTGGTGGTCGTGCTGCTACTGCGTGCATGCAGGCATGTGAAACGGAGCAGGCTCGAGGTGGTCCCCGCGCATGCATGGGCCCCCACGCGGCCTCTGGAGCGGGATGGGTGCATCAGGCGCCGGTTCGGGAGCACCATTCAATGCTAACGCCTTGAATTGAACGTCCAGACGCTAGCAAATCCCTTTTATTTAACTTAACGACAGCAGCTCGTTCAATCTTACAACCCATGCATGCACTAACATGGGTAGTAAAATTGCAATTCTTTTTACTACCTTCTAGTTATAAAAAAAAGAGCTCACCGGAATAAAGTTGCAATACTATTCAGCAGCTAGGCTGCAAAATAATGTGGTCCTATATAATTGTTATTTTTGGCAAAGAATAAATAAGGAAAGTTTTGATTAAAAAGTATTTTTTAGATCTAAGTGATCATGCGTGATCCATTTGAATACAGTGCAGGCTCCATCACACGCCGATGCATCAAACTAGCACGGATGGAATGGAACTCGTGGTGCATGTTTAACTACATATGCTGATTCGTGGTTGACCACTATCTACACTAATAATGCTATATATGTTAATATTATGACACTGAAGCAGGCGCATATCAGATCATCTCCTTTAATTTATCGGAACGTGTTGTAGCCACTCTTTGAGAAAACCAAGAGATGATCGATATCATCGAGGGGATCGGATGTGCCAACATTAACAAACGATCTCTTAGAAAACCGTATCTTTGACATAACTAGTGTGAGCCCAGCTCCACGTTAACCCACTAATTGGCATTGCATATCATCTCGCCTCAACTACGTATCAATTATCATGGCACGGAGGGCACTCCATCTTGCATTCATTCTATATATTTTTAGTTTGGCTAAATCTACAGTACCCCCATTAGCTGATAGGAGGTAATATTTTAAACAAATCTGAGCCATTGATTTTTTTTAGATTTCACAAATTAATTAACTAAAAAAGAGAAGAAAAGAAAACTGCCAAATCTTGTATACAAACATAAGGGCTTCAGTGCTACGATAGTATTGTGACGTGACATTCAGTTTCGGTACGTAAACGATCTGACTTCTGAAGATTTTAGTGACGATTATATGGTCAGAACATAATCTCTTCTAATTGATATAGGCTAGGCCGATACGTTTTCTTGTTTGTTGAAAAATTAGGCCGATACGGAATTACATGTGGTGGTGCTCGGTCCTGAAAAAAGAAAAAAAAATGGAAAAAGGAGGGTAGGAGCAATGGCCTGCGAGGTATGGAAATGGATGTCTGGAAATCCGAATTATCTGAATCCGTATCCACTAAAACGTGTAATATGAACATTTGTATTCATTTATAATGTGGATACCAAATAGATGTATCCGAATCCTTTTTTCAATATTTTTCTCTATTTGGTTCTAAATCCGTATTCGACAAAAATATGGACATTTATCCGCATCCACGAAGAACAAGGTATAATGAATCTTTTGAAAAGTTTTCTTCCATGACTAGTGACTAATAATTATTTAATTTCAAAATTAGTAATGATATATTGAAACTATTTAGTAGTATATCTATAAGTAACCTTTAATATTAATTTAATACTATTAATGATATATAAACATTAAAGTAATTCTAGTATTTTCTAATTTAGTTTAAATATAATATATTTGTTGTTGCAAATTATTTTAATACTTTAATTTATTTTTTGTTGACATAAATTATTTTATATAATTTATAATTTCATGATAAATATTATATAAATAACAATTGATTAATTTATATATTTAATTATTAAATATTTATTGATAACTATATTATTTTCTGTTAGCTATTATTGTCTATGTTATATACCTACATACTTGTTTAATAATTTTATAATTACAAAAAATGATAAAGAAAAATATTATCCATTATAGTTTAGTTCACTTTGATATTGGAGATTATTAGAAGTATACTTTAATTTTTATTTCACTTTGGTTATCGACGAATTTAGTATTAAAATTTTATTCATCTATGTTGAATTTAACAATATGCAATTTGAGTTGAATTGAGTAAATATCCGAATAGAAATTAGAATATGAGACATCTGTTTTGTATTCGTATTCGACAAGATCCGTATCCGTATTTGAATCTAAAACGTGACATCCGGATCCGATTCCATACACTACCGGACTCCCGGCCAAAGACGAGTTGACGCTCGGCAAACTATTTGCCGAGAGCAGCTCTCGGCAAACGGTCCACTTCGTCGAGAGCTGTTGCTTGCCGAGATGCAGGCCCACGGCAATCCTGTCACTTGCCGACGGCCGATGTTTGCCGAGAGCCGTGCTCGGCAAACGTTTTCTTTGCCGAGAGCCCGCGTTTTTTGCCCTCGGCAAAAATCTCGGATCTCGGCAAAGAACGTGATATGAATCCGATTCGTTTCGGTCTCTACATCTACATGTGACATTTCTTCATTCATATATATGCAGGGACTGCAGGCACCGGCCATGGGCGGATTCTCGTGCCAAGTACAGCGCCGCGCGTCAGCACCGAGCACGTATACAAGGGCATCTTGACAAAGAAGATCTACGATGCCCAATGAAACCTTTTGTGCTTGGTTTTGAGTTGCATGCCTTGAGTTTGACCTGGACGCGTCCTGTGGTCACCATGTCCTTTCACATCTGGTGATCGATCTGGACCAGAACCGAAGAAGTGTGGCTGAGTAGTCCTGATCTTCTGGGGATCTCCCGTCACCTTGCATGGCTTCATTTTTTTTTCAAAGACCATGTCCATGGCACCGGCACTGCCGCACTGGTGCTCAGCA